CAGGGGCTAGGGCACAGACTGCTCTCCTCCCCAGCTCTCCAACCCGCGGGCGCCTGCCTTCTCCTGTCGGGCTGCTAGGAATGTAGTCTGGGGCTGGGTAGTTGAGCTCAGATGGGCAGGAGCTCGATGAGTTGACTTGGGGTGATGGTCTCTGGCCTGATCTCATAGCCCTAGTCCCCAACACCTAGCCAGGGTCACTGGTGCCTGGAGGGATACTGACCTCTGAGGAGAGAGGCCGAAGAGCTAGCCTGGGCTTGGCCCTTAGGCGGTAGGGTGGAGCAAAGCTATCCTTGGGGATATATGACCCTCTTTCTCTTACTACAACTCTGACGTCTGTGACACCTGAAGCCCAGCCTGGACAGGCCCTCCTGGGTTTGTCCTGGTGGAATCTGCCAGCTTGCCCAGCTCTTCCTCACCATTCATCTACTTTCACTAGGAAGGAGCCTAGGTGGGCTGGTGCCCACTGGGGCAGGCCAAAGAGTGTCTGGCTTTCTACTAATGCCTGCCATTTGTCTCACCCTGGAGATAAGTGTTTCCCTTTCCTACACTTGCTCCTCCTCGTTACCACTGCTTAGCAGTCTTGGGGCAGAGGCCCTGCCTGCTTGGGGTCTCGATTTTCCTCTCTGTCTGTGCAGAGGGTTGGACTAGATGACCTCCTGGGACACGCTGAGTCCCGTGACTGGGGGATGGTGGGGTTGCCTGGGGACAAAGATGCAGTGTGTGCCGCCCCCAAGGCCAGGGCGGGGCAGGCCCAGCCAGATGTGTGCCTCCCCCTTGATCCACCAGCTGCTTAGGCTGAGCCCTGTCCTCCCGCCTCTTTTCTAGGGGTTGCTAGGCCAAGGCAAGCAGACAGGGAAGGAATGCTAGAGAGCCAGGGCTGATGAGGAAACTGCCACTCCGCTCCATCTGGAATAGTTCCTCCCAGAGCTCCTGGCCAAGGAGCCCGGCTGCTCATGTGCCTTAGTCTTGGGGCCTGAGCAGAACAGGCTCTGTCCTGGGAAGGGTCACACCTAATCTCAGTTCCAACTTGCCCCAGCCAGAGGTCCCTCCTGCCCACAGCCCAGGTCCATCTGGAAGTCAGGCTGGAACACAGCAGTGAGGCCTGAGTAGAGATAAGAGTGGTTTGAGAGTGAGAAGGAAGTGTGTGCTGATGTGTGCACAAGCGTGTCTCCCACTCTTGCAGGTGAAGGCTTGTCCTCTGGCATAGTATCCTGTCTGCCCTGTAGCAGGAGGATACATGCTCCTTGAAATAAGGTTTCTGAGCTCTTATTTGGCAAATTCTGTTAAACAACAGCAAACTGTTTCTTTACCTGCAGGACTTACCAGAGCCTTGAGATCATTGATGTGATAGGAATATCCAATGAAAATCCAGGGGCAGCTTCCCACACTTTTTGGTCTACACCTTCTGTTGGTCTACCCTTCAGAGGCTGTTCCAACTCCTCTTCTCCATAGTTGGGCCAGGGAAGGAAGATTAGGAAGTAGAAGGTGACTTTATAATCTCCCCAAGCTCAGGGAACATCTCCAGCTCTCAGCCCAGGAAGGACTGCCTGCCTCCATCAGGTCTCCCAGATCCGAGCAAGGCAGTTCTGGCTGAGCCACTTCATTTTTCATCCATGGGCTAGTCAATTCTCTTAAACCTTGTCTTCCTCATCTATAAAATAGGATATTACTAGTCATTACTTCATAGGGTTCTTGTGAGTCTTAACTGAGATAATACAGATTTAAAAATCCTACCTATGGGCGCGGGCTGGCACTTATTAAATACCTAGTGGTTGTTAGATACTGGTGGTGGTGGTAGAGGAGGAGATGTTTACCACTGCTCTGACACTGTATCCTCTTGTCCTGACAGAGTGAAGACACTTCCACGTGAACAGCTGACCATGTGCCTGCCCTGAGCATCGAGGCCCACCAGGCATCTCTGTTGTGGGCAGCAGGGCCCGGCATTTGTCTGAGGACTCCCACAGTTGGCAGGCTCCCCCAGCACCCGGGTCTGGGCCTCGGCCCCACCATGTCGAGCCTCAGCAGTGGCTCCCAGGACACCAGTGGCAGTAGCAGCACCACCAATGGCAGCAGTGGCAGTGGCCCAAAGGCAGGAGTGGCCAACAAGAGTGCAGCGGTGGCTACTGCTGCACCAGCCTCCGTGGCCGATGACGCACCACCCCCCGAACGTCGGAACAAAAGCGGCATCATCAGCGAACCCCTCAACAAGAGCCTGCGCCGCTCCCGCCCTCTCTCCCACTACTCTTCCTTTGGGGGCAGTGGGGGCGGTGGCGGTGGCAGCATGATGGGTGGGGAGTCTGCCGACAAGGCTGCTGCAGCCGCAGCTGCTGCCTCCCTGTTGGCCAATGGGCACGACCTGGCCGCAGCCTTGGCTGTGGACAAAAGCAACCCTACCTCAAAGCACAAAAGTGGTGCTGTGGCCAGCCTGCTGAGCAAGGCTGAGCGGGCCACGGAGCTAGCAGCTGAAGGACAGCTGACGCTGCAGCAGTTCGCGCAGTCTACGGAGATGCTAAAGCGCGTGGTGCAGGAGCACCTACCGCTGATGAGCGAGGCGGGTGCGGGCCTGCCCGACATGGAGGCCGTGGCAGGTGCCGAAGCCCTCAATGGCCAGTCCGACTTCCCCTACCTGGGCACCTTCCCCATCAACCCAGGCCTCTTCATCATGACCCCGGCGGGTGTGTTCCTGGCTGAGAGTGCGCTGCACATGGCAGGCCTGGCCGAGTACCCCATGCAGGGCGAGCTGGCCTCCGCCATCAGCTCAGGCAAGAAGAAGCGGAAACGCTGCGGCATGTGCCCGCCCTGCCGGCGGCGCATCAACTGCGAGCAGTGCAGCAGTTGTAGGAACCGAAAGACTGGCCATCAGATTTGCAAATTCAGAAAATGTGAGGAACTCAAAAAGAAGCCTTCCGCTGCTCTGGAGGTAACGGCGCCTTAGAGGGAGGTGTGTGGGCTCTTGTGTCTGTCTGGCAGTCCAAACCCACCCCCAGCCCCACCTTTCCTGCCTGGGTGAGGGTCTGGGGGACGCCCAGTCCCTGGGCTCTGGGGTTCTAGGCCAGTCTCTGAGACACCAGTTCACTGCCCCCAACATCAGAGCCACATCCTGACATCCCATTAGGTTGTAGTTTGCAAGGCAAGCATAAAACTCCAGGCAAGGGCCTCGCCTTCCCAGCCAGGCCCCCCAGGAGTTCTAGGTCAGGTATTGAGATTCCCATACACATCCCAACTTCCCAAATTCCAGACATGTCCTAAAGCTTCCCGTCTGTGACCTAAGATTCTGGGACTCTCCCCTGTCCCATTTGACAGGGTTCTGTCCCATGGACCCTGTGGCTTTAAGGTAACCCTATCACTTGTCCCTTCAGAGCCTCGACTTTCCCCCAAGGCCACTCAAGGATAGAGCAGCTCCAGTGCTGGCAGCCCTGCTCTGAAGCCTGGAAAAACCCTGGTTCTAGATGCCTCATTGACATATTTGGGGTGCCTTGAGGCCCCAGGATCAGTCTGGTTGCACAGCCAATGACCAGGGACCTATGGGCCTGGAGTTAGGTGGTGAGCCTGGGGTGTGGGCAAGGCCTGTCCACTGTGGGATTGGCTTAAAGAAGGCCAAATGGTTCCCATATTGCTCTCTCTCTGCCTCGAGGCTAGGCCTGTCCCTGTTCCCCCAGCTGTGTCAGCCCAGCTGTGGTGCCAGGCCTGGGTACAAAAGTATCTTTTCTGCCTGCTGCCCCTGCCCTGGCCCCACCCCTCTGAGTGGGCTTGATGCAAATGTCCAGAATGGTTGGAAAACAATGATGGCATCTCAGCCGTGGCTACCCACCCCCTGAGCCCCAAACCTCATATATCTGCTCTCCTGCCCAGAGAATACACCTATATGCACACAAAGGCACCCACTCTCGTCTGTTGTAGACACACACACACACCCCTGCCCAGTGCACATAGACGTAGCCTCTGAATAAACATAGCAAGTATCCTTTCTCCCCACCACAGCTCCAAACATGCTACACACCGTAGCAGAGCTCAAGGCGTCCATCCATATATGTGTTCAGTGCACACGCTTACACGTAAGCTCATTCGACAGAAACCTGCACACAGCTCCCAGGTGCACCACAGCCGCCTGGTGCTTGTGGCCTTTGGACCAGGGGAAGGGATGTTTCTGTCTGGAAGGAGGCTTCCTGGGCACAGTGGTTCAGGAGGCCTCAAGGTGCTCCAGGCCCTTCAGCGACCCAGTGGGTCAAGGCTCCTTCTCTGGCCTGGCCAGGATGGCAGGAACTCCACAGGGTGGCTGCCTTTACTCTATGCCCATCCCTCCACCATGAGACCATCCACGGGGAACATCTTTGCACCAGACCCAGCCGGACCCTGACTGAACTCTCTCCTTGTTTTTGTCTCCCGCCCCCGCCAGAAGGTGATGCTTCCGACGGGAGCCGCCTTCCGGTGGTTTCAGTGACGGCGGCGGGAACCCAAAGCTGCCCTCTCCGTGCAATGTCACTGCTCGTGTGGTCTCCGGCAAGGGATTCGGGCGAAGACAAACGGATGCACCCATCTTTAGAACCAAAAATATTCTCTCACAGATTTCATTCCTGTTTTTATATATATATATTTTTTGTTGTCGTTTTAACATCTCCACGTCCCTAGTATAAAAAGAAAAAGGAAAAAAATTTAACTGCTTTTTCGGAAGAACAACAACAAAAAAAGAGGTAAAGACGAATCTATAAAGTACCGAGACTTCCTGGGCAAAGAATGGACAATCAGTTTCCTTCCTGTGTCGATGTCGATGTTGTCTGTGCAGGAGATGCAGTTTTGTGTAGAGAATGTAAATTTCTGTAACCTTTTGAAATCTAGTTACTAATAAGCACTACTGTAATTTAGCACAGTTTAACTCCACCCTCATTTAAACTTCCTTTGATTCTTTCTGACCATGAAATAGTGCATAGTTTGCCTGGAGAACCCACTCACGTTTATAAAGAGAATGTTGATGGCGCCGTGTTGAAGCCCCTCTGTATCCATCCACGTGGGCAGAGCTGCCTTGAGGAGCTCACAGAGGGGGAGGGAGAAGACTCCCCAACCCCCAGGCCCAGGCCAGGCGTGCTACACCCACAGTCCCCACAACGGGGTCCCCCACCCCAACAATGATTTTGCAAAAATGAAAGTTCTGTTTGTTTATTCATTGAGATCTGGGGAGCCCATGTCTCGATAGTTCTGATCGTGATCGTGGCTACTTCCCTTAGAGAAAGTAAGTCCTTTTTTTCCCGGCCTGGCTGATGGCGACAGAAGAAAGGGCTTCTTTGCGTGGTCCCCTGCCAGTGGGGGTGGGTCCCCAGGGGGGTCCCCTTCGGCCTGGGCCCTCTTGCCCATGGCCAGCTTCCTGCTGATGAACATGCTGTTTGTATTGTTTTAGGAAACCAGGCTGTTTTGTGAATAAAACGAATGCATGTTTGTGTCATGAAGCACCGCTGGCTTCTTGCTCTTGGGTTTGGGGGGCTGCTGCTGGGCAGGGATTGTCTGGGACCACCTTGGGGGAGAAGAAGAATCACCCGGGGACATTTAGAGTGGGATCTCTTGGGAAGTGAGGCCCTCCGGATACACAAGGGGGGCAAGCAGGAGCAGCCAGCCTGGATGACAGGATGGAAATGCTATTAATCTGGCAGTGGCTGGTACTGGAGCACCTCCCCTGCCTGATTGTACCCCTGCCTCAGAACCGGAACCTCCAGGGACTTTCATTCACCTGGGGCCACCTTCTCTATTCATCTAAAGTCAACAGCACCTGATCAGTGCAAAGCAGCCAGCAGTCCTGGGGGTGGGGCTTGAGCTGCCTGTTCAGGTTCTTATCTCCTCTTACTTGCAGGGATCTAGTGCCCCCCCAACCACTGATGTGAGTCCCCAGGGTTCATAACCAGCACACACACAGGGACCCCACGTACCCCTCTTTAGGCCTGAGGGCTATTGGACTGGGGCCTAAGGTATCCCTGGCTTTGTCTCCTGTGACTATCCCCACCCCCAGAAAGTTTGTTGGCACAAGGTTGTCTGGGATCTCAGAGGTCAGATGACGGGAAGTCACCCACAGAGCCTCGTGGTCTAGGCCAGGGCAGCCTGAACCAGAAGAGATGGCTGTACACCCCCCACCCTGCACATCACAGAGGCTGGCTGCAGGATGAGGCCTACCATCCACTGGACAGGGAGGCATTCTTCCCACCCAGCTGCTTGGAGCCGGCCTGAGACAGGCTAGGCTTGAGGAAGGACTTCCAGAAGATGTGGGGCCTGGCTTCAGGTGGGTGAGGGCTTTGGGGATGACGGAAGGAGCTACTTCTGAAGCTGAGTGGGCAGAGCGGTGAGGGACATGGGATGGCTCTATCGTTTCTGGGAGAGGAAAAGCAGCCATGTTGGTTGGGGTTCTGACCCTCAACCCTTTCCCGTGTGCCACAAGCTCCTTTCCAGCACCAGGAGCTCAGCAGCCTGGCCTGGCACAGCGGGGGCAGGCGGGGGAGGTGGGAGGCTGCTTTCAACTCCATCTCTGCCTGGGAAAAATTCCCTTTCATGTGGCTGCCTGTGATCTCTCCAGGCGGCTCTGCCGATGGGGCGTCCAGCAGGGAGTAGGGGGAGGTGTTGCAGCGGGGGCACCCTCACCCCCTGCACAAGGCAAACTGCAGCACCTCAGAACCTTGAAGGGATGGAAAGGATCCTCCTTGTGGGGTGGGGATGGGAAGCCTGGCCAGCAGGGGGCACCCAGGCTGGAGGCCCCTTCATGCCCCCACCTGGCTGCTGGCAACACAAAAGCTGCAGATGGCCTCGGCCAGCCCTTAGGTGCGGGGTGGATGGCTCCTGTGCCAGCCCCAAGGGGGAGGGGGGTGCCGTGACTCAGCCAGTCTGTACCTTGTATTGTGCCAACTTACAGCCCAGCCATAGCTCCTGCCCGCCCCCCTGCCCCAACACACACACACACACACACACTGCAGAGAAGCCCTCACCTTGAAGGCCCTCACCTATTCCAACTTCAGCTTTTTGCGCTCTGCTTTGTGGAAATGGTAGGTCAGCCCCAGGCATGGGTGGGGATAGCTGTGAGGCTGAACACATGATGAAACCTCAGTTACCTCATCTGGGAAATGGGGACAATTAATAGTCTCTCTCCCATAAAGGGGCCTTCGGATGAAATGAGATCACTCTAGGGAAGGGCCTGGCTCATCTTAAGCGCTTGATCAATGGCAGCTGGTGGTGGTATTTTATTTATTTTTAAAATGTTTTTATTGATTTTAGAGACAGAGAAGCATCAATGTGAGAGAGAAACATCAATCCAGTCCCTCCTGTATGTACCCCAACCAGGGACTGAACCTGAAACCTGGGCATGTGCCCTGACCAGGAATCGAACTGGTGACCTTTTAATGAATCCAACTGGTGACCTTTGGATGACACTCAACCAACTGAGCCACACTGGCCAGGGCTGATGTTACTATTTTAAAACTATTGACCTAAATCTCACCAAGATGTCCCCCACCTTCCACCCAGGTGTGTGTCTTCCCTAAAAACCTCGCCATTCCACCTCCCACCTCACTCCTTCCCCAGCAAGCCCCAGCCCTGTCTGTCTGCCTGTTGCTCTGGCTCACTGTCTCTGAAGCTCTCTCCTGATGGTCTCTGTTGGTCTCTGACTCTTCTGTGTCTCTGAGCCTCCATGTCTCTCATGTTTCTCCATCTCTGTATCCTGTCCCTCCCTGCCTTTCTCTTACAGGTTCATCCCTGCTGCTCTCCTGTCTGACAGAGAAGTATTTAGGGGCGGCTTCCCCGTGAAGTATGCCCAGTTCCCCTCCCCAGGAGGTGCTCTCAGCTCCGCTCTGCTACAGTTGGGAGCCTGACCTCCTAGTGACCCAGGAACCTTTACCTGGGTGGCAGGGAGTGGTGGGATAGGCTGGAGTGCACAAGGGGCTGGAGTCAAAACCAGCCTCCATGCAGCCAAGTGGTGTGGGGTGTGTGTGTGTGTGTGTGTGTGTGTGTGTGTGTGTGTGTGAGAGAGAGGGAGAGAGATGCTTAAAGGCCCTGACAACCATGTGAGGCCTTGTGTGACACTATGCGTGGCTATGTGTGACACTGCGTGTGTCATGCAAATGGGTCTCTGACAGTGTGTGGTAAACTATGATGTGAGACCTCTTGTGGCTGTGGGTTAGTATATGATATCAGCAGCCACACTTTGGGATATTCTGTGACATTGCATGTGTAATCCTGTAACATTGTGCAATTCTGTAACAGACCCAGTGTGATACCAGGGTGTACAACTGAATGTGTGACATTGAGTGATTCTATATGTGGGACGTTGGATAGGCAGCATTGATCATGTATGGCATACATGACCCTATGACAGACACTGGATGATTCTATATGGTTTGTGACATTGAGTCTGGGGGGCCATCAGGGTGTGGCCCTGAGACTGACATCAGCGATTCTGTATGATTGTGTGATGCTGGCTTGTGACCCTGTGGTAGTGCCCTGGGTGTGTGCTCATGACGTTGTATGTCAGTGTGCACCTGTGACCCTCAGTAATGACGACACTGTGTGCCTTGTGTGTCTTTGTCTACAGCATTTCCTGGCTCTCTTCCCTGATAGCCATGCAGCTCTGGGGACAGGGTGGGGGCCCTGGCAGCCCATGACCCCCAGCCTGGTTCTGAGGCTCAGTCTGGGTGGGAGAGCTGGCGTGGGGGCAGCAGGCACAGTTCCCACGGCCACCACGGCCCCTCTCCCAGCCCCACCACAGGGCTTCAGCTCCACAGCATATCCTGGCAACCCCAGCCTCTTTGTTCTCTGTGGCCGCCAAAGGCCTCCCCCACCCCAGCCTGCCCAGTGCTTGCCAGGCGCCCCCTCCTCCCCACAGCAGCCGGGTTTGGCCTGACCTAGTCCCTTGCTGCCCTTATTCTCCCCTCCCTGCCTGGGGCCCCTGTCTCCTGCCCTGAACCTGACGCAACAGTCCAGACCGGGCCTTTGAACCTCTGCTACGAGCTTGCTGTGGCCGGTCATGTCGTGCAGGAAGAAGGATGCAGGAAAGCTGTAGTGTGCTGGGTAATTTGGGCCAGGAGCTAAGCTCTCTTATATGGGTACTTCTCAGCCCAAGGCTAGTTGGAGGCTGCCTTCAGTCTGGGACAGTTTCAATTGGCGAGTAAGTTTGCTTCTTTGGCTCCAGAAAGTCATCAGAATGGGGATTATTCTGCATTTTATAGGTGAGAAACCGAAGCCCAGAGAGAGTATGTGACATGCCAGGTCACAGAGCAAGATGGTAGGCAGGATCCTAATTAGAACTTGGCTCTTGGCTGCCAGACCCCTGCGCCAGACTAGGCTGCTTTGGAAGAATCAGCTTCCTCAATGGACAGGAAAGGGGGTCTGGCAATCTGGACACACTGGTCCTCTTTATTTCTTGGTCACCTGGTGACCATGTGTCAAAGTCATGGTGTGTGTGTGTGTGTGTGTGTGTGTGTGTGTGTGTACGCTTGCTCCCATGCCCTTGCTGGGTGACCTTGGCCAAATGCCCTCACCTCTCTGTTCCCAAGAAAGAAGGGCCAGAGGTTGTGGGGTGGGGCACGGGCAGGGTGCTTTGCAGAACAACAAGGTCGCCTCATAGTGCCAAGACGCACAGCATCTCCATTAGGGACGTGGGCTTGGTGGTTCAGGGGGACAGATTCTGGCTTGAGGCCCCAGCCTTGATTCCCAGGCTAAACCTAGCTCTGCTGTCACACAGAAGGAGGTGGTAATGGCCGCACGACTCTGCTGTAGTCAAGGCCACTTCAGCCTGACCTGATTGCAGCACCAGCTCCCACTCCCTCCCAGGTGCCAGAGATGGATGGATGGATGGAGGTCACTGTGCAGCCCGCCCCAGTCCCCCACTGCCCACCCGAAGCCCTTTGCTGACAGGCACTGCTGACAACAGCCACGGTGGGGGAGGACAACCAAGGCGGGGGAGGGCCGGGCAGGCACCAGCATGTTAATAATGCAGACCTTGGCCCAGGCACCCTGCAGGCAGGTAATGGCACAGAGAGGTCCTGCTGTCCCACCAAGGTCACACAGCCCTCCAGTCCAGGGGGTTATGTCCCAGAGGTCCACAACCCCCTGAGGACCCCGTGAAGGCTCTTTCTGCCACTGAGTGGAGATGGCTGGGGAAAGTGGAGGGGGTGCGGGAGGGTCCCCTGAGGCCACCGACCCAGCTGCCAGAGCGGACACTTTCATCTCTTCGCCTGTCGACCTGCCATCCCTCAGCGGCATTAAATTCCCCTCCTGCCAGAGAACAAGGGCTGCCTCAGATTCCAGGCAGCAGGGCGTGAAGATGGGGCGGGCCCAGGGGAGGAGAGCTGGTCCTCCAGGTTCCAGGCCTGGGTGCAGAGCTCCTGCACTGGGGGCAGGGAATTGGTCTGTGGGTTCTGGTGCCCAGCTACCCTGGTCAGATGAGGTCTATTTCCTGTTGCCTTTTCCTGACTGA